TAAGTCTTGCAAGTGCATCCCAATATTCTTGATTAAGACATTGAATGTACCTACTCAGTCTACCTATTGCATAAGCAATGTTAGGTCTAGAAAAACTCATTAAATATAGTAAGCTCACAACTATCTGAGCATACTGAGGTTAAGAAATAAAATCTCCTCTATTTTTCTCTAAGTTAGAGTTAACATCATAATACCCAAATTTCCTAAGAAGTTTCTCAATGTATTGTTCTTGAGATTGTAAGATACTATCTCTCTTCCTTATGATTTTAACTTCCAAAATCATATTGATTTCACCCATGTCTTTAATTTTAAATTTAGATCCCAGAAATTACTTGTTTCTAGAGACTATGTTAATGCATGTACCAAATATTAGCATGTCATTTACATATAAACATATAATGACACATTCACCACTTTCCAATTTAGAGTACACACATTTATTAACATCATTAGTTGAAAAACATCATAAAGTATAATATTATCAAATTTTTCATGTCACTGTTTTAATGTCTGTTTTAATCCATACAAAGATTTTAAAAGTTTGCACACTTTGTTCTCTTGACCAGAAACAACATATCCTTCAGGTTGAGTCATATAGATTTTCTCCTCTAATTCACCATTCAAAAGATTGTCTTAACATCCATTTAGTGTATAACTAGCTTATGGATAGTTGCTAGAGCTAACGAAACTCGAATAGAGGAAATCCTAATCACAAGGGAAAATGTATCAAAATAATCAATGTTGGGTTTTTGAGTAAAACTCTTTGCTACTAATCTGACCTTATATTTATATATGGATCCATTAGGATGATACTTTTTCTTACATATCCACTTACAACCAATAGGTTTTGCTCCTTTAGGCAAATATATTAAAGTCCAATGGTATTATCCCACTATGTTGCATCAGAAGTACTAATAGCCTCTAAAAAACTTGTTGGATCATTTTTCAACTAGATAGGTGTAAAAATTATCTCCAAATGAGATTTCCTTTATTTGTCTTTTACTTCTTCTCAAGTCCTCATTCATGTCATCACTATTAATATATATATATATATATAGAGAGAGAGAGAGAGGTTGTTTAGGTGTCTTAGTAACATTTTAAAGGAAAAAATATGTTAAAAAAACTCAATATTTTTTTGTCTCCACTATAGTATTATGCTCAATTACATCACTCTTGAGAATAAGAAACCTATAGGTAACACTATGTTCTGCATAGCCTATTTTCTTTTTCTTAGGATTGGGTAACATTACCTAAGCTATGCACTCCCACACTCTTAGATATTTAAAATTAGGGTGATAACCTTTCCATAACTCATAGGAAGTTTTACAAATTTTCTTATGTGGTATCCTATTTTGTAAAAAACACGATGTAAGTAGAGTTTCTCTCCAAAGGTTATCAAGTGCACTATAACTAATAAGTATGACATTCATCATTTCTTTTAGAGTTATATTTTTTCTCTTAACTACTCCATTAGACTCAGATATATGGTGGGGTGAGATCACTTCATGAATAATACCTTTTTAACACAATAATCATTAAATAATACATATTCATCACCTCTATCCAATCTAATCCTTTTAATTTTCCTATTTAATTGATTTTCTACTTCTGTTTTATAAGTTAAGAACATGTCAAACACGTCATCCTTATGTCTGATTAAGTATACTTTGGTGTATCTAAAATAGTCATTTATAAATGTCACAAAATAATTTTTACCACCTCTAGACATGGTTTGTTTTATATCAGCTAGATCAGTATGAATTAATCTTGAAAGTTCAGTTTGACGTTCTACAAATTGACCATTTTTCTTGGTTATTTTAGATTCTATACATATATCACATTTCTTATTTTGTTTATCATGCATATTAACTAATCCTAATTGTTGCAGTTTCATAACATACGAAGAATTTACGTGTCCTAGTCTAGCATGCCACAAATCATATAAATCAATAATATAAGTAGAAGAACCAAATTCATTATAAATTCAGAGATGTTAAGTACAAAAACACCTTGATCACAATATCCCTTTCCCATAAACACATTATTTTTTGTCATAACAATCTTATCAGATTCGACTGACACTTTAATCCCAACTTTTTTGAGTAGTGTTATTAGATTAACTCTGATCCATGGAACATGTAGTACATCACTCAAGGCCACAGTCTTTCCAGATGTGAGCTTTAGAAGAATTTTTCCTTTTCCTATAATAACAATTATCTTGGAATCATTGAGATAAACATGTTCTTCTCCATCCCAAAATATGTGTAGGAGGTAAAAACAATTTGCATAGATGTGTTTGGTAACACCAGAGTCTACCACCCATTTGTTCACATTTATCACAAGGTTTATTTGAGAAATTATCGCAACAATTTTATCTTCTCTTTCGGCTAAATTTTCCTTAGGAGGATTGTTGTTTTTTATTTTACGTCTGCACTGAGGTGTCTGCACTGAGGTGCATGATGACCTGACTTTCCATAAACAAAACAATTTTTCTTCTTCTTGAAGGTGGGGTTAGATCCATTGGGACGGGAATTAAAATTATTTTTTTCTTATAATCGGGTTTTTTCTCATCCCTTTTTAGAGTTGTTTTTTCTTCTTATAACCGGTTGGTATCTTCAATGATGATGTGTGTGATTAGATATGACAGTAACATCTGTTTATGCCTATGCTTCAGTTATTATTTGTAGTCTGTCCAGGATTCTGGAAGTTTTTCGATTAGAAGTTTTGAAACAAACTCATCAGCTAGGACTATGTTTTTGGCTTTAATATCTTCAAGCAAATTATGGTACTTGTTGATCTAGATCTTGATTTCCTTGTCTTCTAGCATCTCCCAATGATAGTAATTTCCAATAACGAACATTTGTCTCACGACATCTTCGATAGTATATTTTAGAATCAACGAATCCCAAATATCTTTGACTTCTTTATAGGAAGGATATATATCGAACAAATCTAATTTTCAATTTGTTTAACAGAGTACTAGAGTCAGGTTTGATAGTTGTAAGAGCAGAAGTCACTTTATACAGGTCTAAGAGAATAGAAATGTGTTCTTGTCAATGTCAGAAGTTTTGCCTAGTGAAAACTTCAATTTTTGAAACGTTTGAAAAAGGTTTTCGAGTTTTAGAAATATTGTTTGTCTTTTTCGATACAGAGTTGTTGTTAGTATCCATTCTGTTACCCATAAGTCCTTAAGATTGTTGTAACAAAATTTGATTCCTGAGACGTGTGTAATTACTGTCTTTAAGGATTTATCTGCAGAGTATTGCCTTAATATTGTTATAATTGTTATAACAAAACTTGATTCCTGAGACATGTGTAATCACTATCTTTAAGGACTTATCCGCAAAGTAGTGCGCAAGTCCTCTAAGATATAATAAGAACTTCTCTTATTTTTTAGGAACACAAAAATGAGAAAAAAACTCTTAAAAAAATGGATAAACTTAGAAAAATAAATGAGAATATAAAAAAAATATTGAGTAAAGTGTGATTTGAGAGAAGTGTAAAATAATCTATTTATAAACAAGTATAGATAACATACACATGTCTACTTAATAGCCCGCACACAACATTTTAGCCCACTTGTGCTGAAATTTAGCAATCATGTTGCAAAGATTCGTATAACACAAGCTAGACGTATGAAGAGGAAATGATTTGCAACTGCAACCACGTGGAAGGTGTAGCGGGTTTTCCAATATCTTTCTGTTTCTGCAATCAAAATTTAGGGCTCCACATAGGTTATTAAATTACAATTTTAGTTTCTCTTTATCTATTTCTTTTGTTATCTCGGTAATTGTTGAAAATGAATTATAACTTGTGTGTGTTTCCAACTATATAATGGATTTCTTTTTGGGATTATCAAATTTGTTGCTAAACTAAGTAAGAATGGATGAAGTGTTTGGAATGTAGGCTTTTCCCTTCACCTGAACTAGTTTCGATGTCGTTTTCTTTTCCCCTAAATAATGTATTTTACATGTTCATTCCATTATTATATTAGGGGAAACAAAAGATCATATAATCTACTCAGATTTTTTTTTTAATAATATTCCAAGCAAGTTTACACAAAAATAAGAAAAAAAAAATATTTGAGTTGTTATTTTCCTCTAAACTTAATTTTGGTGAGAGAATATTATTCCAATTCTAAATCATACAACACATATATAATATTCTTACAACTAAATTTATATTGAATAAATAATTTTAAACATATAAATTGTATTTTAAATTTACTATTATAATGTTGGAGTAGAATGGTTCGATTAAAAAAAAATGATATTTGGAAACTTTATTTTTCATAAGCAAAATTTGTTCAATTTATAAATAGATTTGATAAATAAAATTCGATAAGATGATCAATTAAAAATTAGGAGGTGAAAACCAAGAATAGTATTCTCATAAATCTACAACTGCCACTTGTATTTATCTAAATTATCTGGTCAATATAATTAGTTACATAAATTTAAGAATCAAGGGTTATTATCAAATAACACCTTGCCTTTATTCCAATATTAACGGTAATTGATCCGATGATTTAGACACGCATCTAAAAATTAGTTTTAAAAGATTAATGCATACAAATATATTTTTAGGGGTTCTACTATACTTTTTAATATATTATAATTTAATGTTCGTACAACCACAAATCTAGATCTTAATCCCTTAACATTTACATTTTATATATAATTTTATAATTATTCTTAATCGATGATGATTTTAACAAGTATCTAAAATGATCTGTCATTAGCCCAACCCTTATGTAACCAATTCTGTATCATAACTATCGTTACATCAACTAGAATTAATGCAACCATGGTTGCAGGTGTAGAAGTTATGGATACGGTAACAAACAAGATCGATTCTGAGACTTTTTGTTTCTTTCACCGTCAGTCCGTTCAACCCATTTTGGCGGGTTTATAGCAATTAAAAAAAGGGACCCGGTGACCGTATTAATAGTTTTGAAACGATTGTGGATCACACAACGCAACCGTTCTTCATAATTGGTGATGGCTTCTGGAGTACCACAATTCTCTGATGATGTCCAAAGAGAAATCTTGTCCTGGCTTCCCGTGAAGAATCTGCTAATATTTCGGAGCGTTTCCAAGACATGGAATTCCCTCATCTTGCATCCTACATTTGTCAATTTACACCTTGAAAGATCCCCCAAGAACACCAATGTCCTAATCACATTCTGCATAAATAGGCCGGACATCCATTACGATGAAGACGACGACGAACACGACTACTACAAAGATGGCAAGATCTGTGTCGGCGCTGTACCACGTTCTATACGGTCTCTAATTTCAAACCCGTTGTCCGCTCTTAACAACATACGCCGTTTGTTATGGAATCCGCCGCCAACCATTTATGATGGCCTTTTCTTATTTAATTCCGGCTTTTTTGTATTGGGTGTATGCAATGGATTGATTTGTCTACGTTTTAGTTCTGGCGAAGGAGAATGTCAAGAATTTTGGGTTCGATTTTGGAACCCCGCCACTAGGATTAAGTCTGTACAATCCCCACGTTTACGTGTCAATAGTTTCAAAGGCTTAATTGGCTATACCATGAAGTTTGGGTTTGGGTATGATGATTCGAGTGAAACTTACAAGGTGGTGGCCACCATTTTCTATTATAAATCAAAGATTTGGGAGATGTGGGTTTACTGCACGGGTGAGACTTGTTGGAGAAGGGTTTTAACTGGTTCTTCTGATTTCCCCTCTTTCCAAATAGAAAATGGAGCCTTTGCGAATTGCTCGCTTAACTGGTTAGCACTTCGAACCTCTCTCAGTTCTGATCCTCTAATGAACACAGTTACTGACAACGGAAACCATTTAGTGATTTTTTCGTTTGATATGAAGGATGAGACATACAAGTATATGTCGATACCTGATGGTCTTTCCGAAGTCGTTTATAACAAGTGTTATCTTGGTGTTTTGAATGGTTGTCTTTGTCTTTCTCATGACCACGACGGAACCTATTTCGTTCTTTGGGAAATGAGAACCCAAAATTCTTGGACTCAGTTGCTAAAAGTCAAATATGCGCATCTTCAAATTTCATCTGAAGCACTTGTCTTGTGTTTACCTTTGTGCAAGTCTAAAAATTACGATATTACGTTGCTGACAGAATTTGGACGTGCACATTTTGTTCTGCTTGATCAGGAAGATGACACAGAAGATAATTTTGAAAGTTTCAAAAGCGAACTCCAATATTACTCAACGTTTCTATCTTTTGATTACGTTGAGAGTTTGGTTATGCCGGTTCAAATTTAAGCTGCCTACACTTATATTAGGTGATATATCCTTTCCATTTTACTAGAATTTTTACAGATTTAATAGGATTTTTGATACAAATCAACCCGTGGATCCAGACCCAATAAGGAAGGATGACTCAATAGTAGGGAAACGAGCAAGAAAGAAGTCAGCGTGGATGACTGACTATGTCTGCGGACAAAATTAGAAGATCCTGATATGCTCAAATTATGTCTGCGGACAAAATTAGAAGATCCTGATATGCTCAAATTAATTCCTGAAATTTCTGCTGCAAATTATTAGTTTAATTCCTGTTTTATTTCCCTAATTTTTGTTTGATTGTTAGCACCTAATTCCTTTTAATAGTTATGATGTAATCAAAACAAAACAGAATAAAAGTTTTCAAGATCTTTTTTCCCCCAAATTCTATTATTCTTTTTCCCTTAATTTTCTGAGGAGTGGACACTCACTCAAAGAGTGTTAAAACCTTTGAGCATTCTGCAGCAGAGTGTATCATTGGTGCTTTCATCGTGAACACAACTGAGTTTATGAGCGCCCTTCAATCCAATATCGATGCACAGATGGTAAAGTTTCGCGAATTACTCGAGTCTCATACCGAGTCAGTTCACTCCACACTCCACCAACACCTGGTAGAAGTTGATTCGAAGGTCGCAAACCTACACGTCGAAGGCAAAAAACAACCACAGAATGCATTTGCCGGGCAGACATCACGTGCGTTGAAATTAAACATACCACGTTTTGATGGTTTCAATCTCTTGGATTGGATTTTCCAGATTGAAGCTTTCTTCAACTTCCACGAAACTCCGGAAGAGTCCCGACTTCAGATCGTAGCCTTTCATCTTGACGGACGCGCTGCTGGCTGGTTCCAATGGGCAACACGTAACAATTTTTCTCACCGCTGTTCGTCACCGCTTCGGTCCAACTCAGTACGAAGACATTGAAGGTGAACTCTCTAAATTAATTCAAACCGGCTCTATAGCTGATTTTCAAGCCCAGTTTGAAGAATTGATGAACAAGGTCAACGGTATCTCCGAATCACTACTGATCAGTTTTTTCATTACGGGACTAAAAAAACATTTGAGACGGGAATTGCAATTTCACCGACCTGCTAAGTTAATAGGAACCTTCGCCATGGCCAGAGCATATGAGGCCCGTTTTAATGACACACCAACCATAGGCAAATTATGGTCTCGCGGCCCACAACACTCCACAGACTCACATACCCAACCTAACAACAATCAAACAAACCGATCCAATTCAAATCCAAATAACCCATCAAACAATATTGCAACATCGTTACCACCACTCTTACCCACACCACACTTAAACCCTGTCGTGCGGAACATGCCCTCTACCGAACTCTGAGACCGCCGTTCAAAAGGTCTCTGTTTTAAATGTGATGAGAAATGGAACCCATCTCACCGATGTCAAAACCGCGTGCTTATCCTCATGGGAGCGGATGAAGATGAACCCCCACCGGAATCCGAGGATAACTCAATAGATGATGTCTCTGATGACATATCTAGCCTTCACTCCTTGTCCAGTCAGCTCCAAAGTCGATCCTTGCGTGTTTCCGGCCTTTATAACCAAACAGATTTCACCATCCTCATTGACAGCGGGAGCACTCACAACTTTATCAAGCCTGCGTTAGTGGAACAATTGGGGTTACCTATCAAACCATGCCCTCGTTTCAAGGTCGCAATTGGTTGTGGAACCTTCTTGGTTTGTCAATTTTGCTGCCATAATATTCCTCTTATCTTACAGGACATTAAATTTGAGGTGGATTTGTTTATCCTGAACATTGAAGGTCCAGATGTTGTATTGGGCTTTCCTTGGTTGCAATTTTTGGGCAAAGTTGCGCATGATTATTCAGCTCTCACTATGGAGTTCATGTGGCAAGGGACCCAAGTTACTTTAGTAGGTGATGCCTCTCTAGCCTCACAATCAGTGTCAATGCATCAGCTTCAAGCATTGGTTCACACCAATAATGTGGCCAGCGTTTTTATCATCACGACGTCCCTTCAAGACGTTGATTCTCTCCTGAACCATCCAAGCAATTTTCCATCCAACCTACCCATCCCGACTCATCGATCTATTACAACGTTTTAAGTCTATTTTTTCTACACCCACAGAATTGCCTCCTCACAGAACGGTCGACCATCACATCCATCTTGTTGAAGGATCCAAGCCAGTTAATGTGAGGCCCTATCGATATCCTCAATTTCAAAAATCTGAAATGGAGAAGTTGATCCGAGAAATGCTTGATCAAGGCATCATCGTCCCTAGTCACAGTCCATTTTCTTCACCCGTCTTATTGGTAAAAAAGAAAGATGGTACATGGCAATTTTGTGTGGATTATCGATCGTTAAATTCTGTTATAGTTAAGGATAAATTTCCAATTCCAACCATTGATGAACTTTTGGATGAGTTGGGTGGCGTAAGAATATTTACAAAACTGGACTTGCGTGCAGGGTACCATCAAATTCGGGTTCATCCGCGTGACACTTATAAAACGACGTTCCGCACACATGAGGGCCATTTTGAATTTCTGGTAATGCCGTTTGGACTTACTAATGCACCGTCAACATTTCAAGCCACAATGAACCAATTGTTTTCTCAGTACTTACGAAGGTTTATGATTGTTTTTTTTTATGACATACTGATATATAGTGCCTCTATTGAAGATCACTTGCAACATTTAGAATTGGTTTTTACTTCCTTGAAGACTCATTGTTTTTTTGTGAAACTGTCCAAATGTCTATTCTGTCAAGAGTCCATTGACTACTTAGGCCATATGGTTTCTTCTCAGGGTGTACAGGCGGATCCGGCCAAGCTTGAAGCCATGGAAAAATGGCCCATACCAGTAACGGTCAAACAACTTAGGGGGTTCTTAGGCCTTACCGGATACTATAGAAAATTCATTGCCCATTATGCAAGTATAGCTTCTCCTTTAACTGATCTTCTGAAGCATGATGTATTCTCTTGGAATGAAAATGCTTAACGGGCCTTCCTTGCCCTCAAGCAAGCTATGCTTTCTGCGCCGGTCCTTAGTTTACTTGACTTTTCTAAAGAATTTGTAATAGAGACTGACGCATCCAACGTCGGTATTGGAACTGTTTTAATGTAAGAGGGTCACCCCCTTGCCTTCTTTAGTAAGAAATTGGGTTCGAAGTTACAAGTTGCATCTGTATACATCAAGGAACTACATGCCATTACAGAATCTGTTCTTAAATGGAGACAATACTTGTTAGGCCATTTTTTTGTCATCCGAACTGATCATAAGAGCATCAAGGAATTACTTCAGCAAGTGATACAAACTCCAGAACAGCAGTCGTATGTGCGCAAACTCTTGGGGTTCCAATTTCGCATCGAGTACAAACTTGAGGCTTCTAATAAAGTGGCTGACGCACTTTCACGTGTGCCGGCTGACTGGCCAGACAGTGACTACACACCCGCACTCAGAGCATTAGTGTCATCACCTACATAAGGTATTATTACTCAGTTCCAAAAAGAAAATGCTTCAGATTTGTTCTATCAGACTTTTCGTGAACAACACATGCAGGGATTGCTCCGGTACCCTTGTACTATCGTGAATGGGGTCCTCTTTCATACCGGTCGTTATGTGATCAACCCAACATCTCTTCTATGTCATACAATCATTAGCTAATTTTATGATACACCAAGTGGTGGCCATGCTGGTGTGAAACGTACCCTAGTTCGTGTTGCTGCCAATTTTTATTGGTCCGGTATGCGTAAAGCAGTGAAAGAGTATGTCGGCTCGTGTCTTACTTGCCAACAAATTAAATACTCAACGCAGGTTCCAGCGGGACTCCTTCAACCTCTTCCAATTCCAGAGACGGTTTGGGAAGATGTGACAATGAATTTTATTACGGGTCTCCCTCCCTCTCAAGGATCCACGGTTATCCTTGTTGTTGTGGATCGATTATCGAAAACAGCTCACTTTGGTGCTCTTCCCACGTCATTTACCGCTTCCAAAGTAGCAGAGTTGTTTGTGTCTTTGGTTGTGCGTCACCATGGGTACCCTCGTTCCATTGTGTCTGATCGTGATCCGGTCTTCATTAGCGTTTTTTGGCGCAAACTGTTTGAACTTAGTGGCACCAAACTTGCTATGAGCAGTGTCTATCACCCTCAAACTGACGATCAAACCGAGGTAGTTAACCGTGGGTTGGAACAATATCTTCGTGCCTTCACTCAACATAAACTGTCTTCATGGGTTGCATTCCTTCCTTGGGCCGAATTTCATTATAACACCAGCTACCATAGTGCCTTGCAAATGTCCCCTTTCGAGGCTCTTTATGGTCGAAGACCACCCACCATTCCGGCATATACTAGGGGATCCACTTCTATACAAGTATTGGATGAGGCCCTAACTTCCCGTGACGAATTACTCCGCACTTTGAAGGCAAATTTAACTGCTGCTCAACATAGAATGCGTCAGAAGGCCAATGCACATCGTCGAGACATTACTCTCGCGGTTGGTGATTTGGTTCTCGTACGCCTCAGACCGTATCGCCAAACATCAGTCCGTCAATTGAAACACCACAAACTCTCGAAGAGGTTCTATGGTCCTTTTAGCATCCTAGAGCGCATTGGGACAGTGACATACAAACTCCAACTTCCTCCTGTTAGTCGCATTCACCCGGTTTTTCATGTGTCGGCTCTTAAACCTTTTCGTGGTACTGATAATATGTCTGCATGTGACTTACCCTTGGAAAGCTTTGATAACCAACCTATTGATCAACCAAGGGCAGTTTTAGATTGGCGTACTCAGTTAGTTCACGGGCAACCACAGGAACAACTCTTGATGCATTGGGAGGGTTGTCCAGTTGATGAAGCTTCCTGGGAAGACTTGAAAAATTTTTGCACTTGTTATCCTGATTTTCACCTTGAGGACAAGGTGAGTTCTGCAGAAGGGGAAAATGATACAAACCAACCAGTGGATCCAGACCCAATAAGGAAGGATGACCCAATAGTAGGAAAACGAGCAAGAAAGAAGCCAGCGTGGATGACTGACTATGTCTGCGGACAAAATTCAAATTATATCTGCGGACAAAATTAGAAGATCCTGATATGCTCAAATTAATTCCTGAAATTTCTGCTGTAAATTATTAGTTTAATTTCTGTTTTATTTCCCTAATTTTTGCTTGATTGTTAGCACCAAATTCCTTTTAAGAAAGAAGTCAGCATGGATGACTGACTATGTCTGCAGACAAAATTCAAATTATGTCTGCGGACAAAATTAGAAGATCCTTATATGCTCAAATTAATTCCTGAAATTTCTGCTGTAAATTATTAGTTTAATTCTTGTTTTATTTCCCTAATTTTTGCTTGATTGTTAGCACCAAATTCATTTTAATAGCTATGATGTAATCAAAACAGAACAGAATAAAAGTTTTCAAGATTCTTTTTCCCCCAAATTCTATTATTCTCTTTCCTTTAATTTTCTGAGGAGTGGACACTCACTCGAAGAGTGTTAAAACCTTTGAGCATTCTACAGTAGAGTGTATCAATTTTTGTTGTAAATTTGATGTTATAAAACTAGCAATAAACGAATATCTCACAAATTTTGATTCAGAGGTAATTTGTTAATGGATAATTAGTTACTTGGGAAACTAAAATTTGTAAATTTTTGTTTCCAAAATTTCCCGTAAATAAAATCCGCAGAAACTTCTATTTTAAAAATTCAATTTTTTTTACATGTGTCTTGTCTGCGAATTACATTTACAGAAAAACTCTTTTATGAAATATTTAAATTCCCGCAAAACATTTAACAAAATCTTTAATTTGCAGAAAAATTTCTACTAAATCTAAATTTACAAGAAATTTTTTCTTTGTTAAATCTAAATTCTCAGAATATTTTTTAAATTTTCAGAAAATTTTTCCTAGGAATCTTTAAATTCTATAAATTTTTATATAATTTATAATTATTAATAAAATAAGCACTAGTTTAAAATTATAATGACTTCTTTTTAAAATATATATTTTAAATATAAGCTTGAGTAAACTTATCTTAATTTATTATAACAAATATAACTCAAATATTTAATTTCGTTTAATAGTTTAAAGATTAAAATTGGAAAAAAAATAGTCCTTCTTTTTTAAAGCTGTATTACTGTTTAATATAAAAAAATATATAATTAAGGTAAGCAATACATGAAAATTCCTAATTTTTATGAAATTGAGTACAAAATAAATTATGAATATATAAAATGAGTACAAGTATTAATATATCTGAAATTAAATTCTGAATATTATTAATAGACAATCTGAATATTAAGAATATATATACATTTTGCTTGGATATTAAGAAATGAATATCAAACCAGTGTTAAATTGTTATTATCAAAAGACAAAAATTACAAACAAAGAAGATTGAAGTTATTTTTCTATTTAACTGATTAATTTGAAATAGGACGAAATTAGTACCAAACAATAACAAAAAAAAATAAAATAAGAAACAAATCACTCCTCTGGAGTAAAATCGGGTCTTACACAATTAAATAGCATGTTAATGCATAGTTAAAGTGCTTTTCTTGTTTACCAACTAGCTAGACTAAAAAATAATTAAATTCATGTGAATTTTTATGAAAAAAAAATTGGTAAAAAATAATTACAATTTTTTTCTAAAGACAAATATTTCACAAAAATTATTACAAATTTATTTACAAAATATATTTTCTAGAAAATGTGTAATATTTTTTTTGCAAAAAATTAACAGTAAAAAATTCTTACAAATTTTTCTTCAATTATATAATTTTTATTTTATTTTATTTTTCAAATATACATTCGTAAAAAAATTTGGTTGAAATGAAAATCATTTTCTATATTTCTTTTTATAAATTAAATTTGTAAAAGAAGATTTAATAATATTTTAAAAAATGACAGTAAAATTTAAAAATAATATTTTTAAAAAGATTTTAATTATTTGTATGGAAAAATAATAAAATATTTTTAATTATTTACTTTTAAAATAATTAAAATTGTAAGAAGTTATTAAAATATAAAATAAAAACAAAATCTTCAATTTTTTCTTATCTGGGTCTCTTCTTCCTTTAATCTTTAATCACCATATAGATTCATCTTCCTTTAAAACAGTTTGTTCTTCCTTCAACTACAATAGAGTTTCTTTTCCCATTAACTTTAACTACTATTATACAGTTTCTTCTTCCTTCAACCCTAATAAGAGAGATTTCTTCTTCCTCCATGGTGGCGATGTAATGAATTGTAGTGGAAGAGGAAGAATATCACATAAATGAATCTAACCTTAACCGTCGGAATCTCTGGTATTTACGTTTTGTTTCTCTTAGCTTTTTCAACTATCTAGTATATTCTACAACTTATTCTTGTTATTATTTTACTTTTTATTACTAGTTTGAATGTTAGGGCTCGTCGATCTGTTGGGTCGGAGTTTTGTTGCAGAGGTCTATCAAAGGTTAGGGGAAAAAATTTGCAGGGCATCCATTTAACGTAATTTGATTAACAATGCAATCTAGGGTTTTCATTTCATACGATGTTTCTAATGTTTTGGGAATAATGCAAGTAGTGATTGACCTATTTGATGAACTACTATTTTGTTTTTGGGCTATGCTCACGGTACCTAGAAAATTCCAGTCCATACAACCTCATTTAGGAGAACAGATAACTAAATTAATGCTAAGATGGATGTAATTGATTATGAAATATCAACTTTTATTTTTATGTTCTTGTTTGAATAAGATGTTGTGAATGGTCTTCTAGAGGAATTAAATTTTTAATTATTAATTTTGGAAGATTGAATTTTATGTTAGGCACCCTAGGACAAGAAAACAAGAAGAAAGAAATGAAATAACATTGTTCATAAGCTAAAATTAGCTTTTGCCTGAGTTAAGTTATATTACATATTAGTTTTTCCAAAAGTTGGGTTTTAATTTATGTATAAATTAATTTTAACTTATAGATAATCTTATTTTATATCTTCAATTTCCTTTGAAAAAATTTATCCACAAATATATTGGACATTAGGTTTTATTTTGGGCTTCTGTAATGCGAATGGTGTGTGTAGTTGTTGTTGTTGACACCAAAATTAGATGCAATTCTTTACTTGTCTTTGTTGGTGTTCTCGTATCAACATTAGATATTTATTTGGATAGAATATGTTTGTATTTTGGGTTTGTCTATATGAAGCTCTAATTCTAGGTTTTTTGACGCTGTTATCTGATCATAGTTGGAGTATTTAGTCAATGATGGAGGTTTGCATTGAAGATCAACAAAGATTGTCATAATGATACTTCAATTTTATGTGTTTTTAGCGTTGTTATCTAATCAGAATTAGAGTTTAGTGCGTGGAATAATGGATTGCATGAAGATGTGAAAATCAGATGTTGATTGGAGGATGACATGAGAGCATGTAAGGAACTGTGTTTAAGTTTTATGGTAGTTGTTGCAAATATAGGATGCACAAATTTAGGTGTGGGTATGTGATTTGAAGAAGGTGAAGGTGTTTGGAGGGAATGAGCTTGGTTAAGGTTATGTAGTGAATGAAACCACTCTTTGAATTTATTTATTTATTTGTTATTTGTGTTATGAGCTTAAGGTTTGCTTCCTTGAACTGCATTTTGTTCAAGATTATGATTTTTCTAACAAAAATAAAATATCAGATGAGTTTATATGTTTCTTGTTGTAGTTCATCCATAGTATTGAGGAGCATTTCTCCTCGAGACAATGTAAATATTTTGTAATATCAAAGGGATTTGTAAATATTCATCGTTCAAGTTTATATGAAGACTCTGTATTTTTTGTATACTGACACTTTTAATTTGTTATTACTTTGTCCCTTTCTGTTTTTTCATATATCTTGTATTAAAAACAAAATTTTGATTATATGTTAATATTACATTTAAAGTTTATTTTCGAGAGTTTGTAGTTGTTTTTATATTGATACTTTCTATTTGATGATGCTTTCTTCTTTTTGGTTTCTCATGTATCTTGTTAAAAACAAAATTTTGTTGACACAATGGTTCAAAATTGCTTTAGTTCAACATTTAAAAATACCATAGTGGGAGAAATGTGTTTTTTTGTAGGGATAGAGTTTCTCTTGGAGAAATTGAAATTTATACGTCTATTATAACAAGGTTTAACAAATATTGATGATTGATTTTATCATAATATCTAGTTATTGTCATGATTATTTTAGTTTTGAGACCTTTTACTTTGATTTTGTCATATCTCTATGTGTGAGGGCTTATGACATGGAAAAATAAAAATTGGATGATGATGACCATGATCATAGTGAAGATGATAACATTTAAAATGTTATTCTTTAGTTATTATAATACTTAACTTAATTTGCAGAAAATTAAAAATATGATGTAATTTTGACAACAATAATGATTTGCTTTGATATATTTTTTTTCTAAGGTTTTAAAATTTTGAATTATTTATATTAAATTTGATTTATTTTGACGTATTAATATTTGAGTTTAATTATTCATAATTTTTTTCATTTGAATTTATAGGATTAAAGATTTGATATGATTATGAGAATGATTAAAATTTGATTTGATGAATTTTGAACAATTCTTATTTATTTTAATACCTCTTTCATTGCATTGTTAGGATTGGAAAACTATGACAAACAATTTTAAAAAATTTGCACAGATTGAGAATAGCATTATAATTTTTCTTATTTTTATTGCGTGTTGAATGATGATAGGTGAATTTGTATAATCAACTAATTGAAATTCACTATAGAGGTGAAAAATGCAAAGGACAAAGGTTCTTCATAAAAATGAGTCTCATGTCTTCAAACATTTTGATAGTTTCATTTCATGCATTTATTATAATTACATTCATATAATAATATTTTACTTTGTTTATGTTTTGTTTTAAAATTTACAGGAATCATGTTGATGTAAGACAAAATAATTTTCTTAAAACAAATTCATGTTAATTTTGGTTTTAACTTAGTTTTTTAGTCGAATAAACAACAATTTTTTTTAAATCACCTAATTATGTAATAAAATAAAATATATAATAAATATATTTTTTTCAATTTCATATATATATATATATATATATATTTATAATTTTAAATTTATATAAAATTTCTTGCAAATTTTCTTGAAAAAAATAACTTCATAAAAAATTCCCTTGAATTTAAAATTAACAAGAAATTTTCTGTCAATATAAAATTATTAAGAAATTATTTATAAATTTAAAATTATTTATAAATTTGAAATTGGTAAAAATTTACATACAAATTTAAATTGATAAGAAATCATATGCGAATATAAATTATAAAAAATTATATGCAAATTTAAATTATAAAAAATTATATGCAAATATAAATTTGTAAAAAATTACTTATGAATATTTTGACTAGGTGAATATTAAATCCCTGTGCTAATAAAAGTTGGTATAAAAATTCGTAGAAAACTTATTTTCTGCCAATTTTTTGAAAAATTTGGTAAAAAATAAATTCCATAAATATTAAAAAATTCTAGTGGTGCAGGTCTTGCTACAAAATAACAAAATAATAAAAATAATTAAAAGTTAGAGATAATACATAAAAAGTAAAATAAGATAACTTTATACATACAAGGCAATTATATATCTCCTCCGAATTAAACATATAAAGAAGTATATTTTGTAGTTGTAGATGACTTTTTTTTTTATAGCAATTGGAAAATAATGATTTGGATTTTGGCTTTTTCTTTTAGAAGAATAATTTGACCATTGGGAACCATTTGTACTTCATTCCTCACTATAACAACTTAATACTTGCCCCATATATAACTTCTATAAAACTAATTATCATTAATTTAATCACCAAACTCAGTAAGTGGATTTTGTGCAGAAACATTCATGTGAAAGAAAGGAGAAAGTTTCGATGGGTGGAAATAAATTTCATAAATAAGTACGGTAGGCCATGAGAAGAGGAGGGAACATACTATAGAATATAGAGTAGAAAGAAAATAGTTGGATACCCATGACTAGACATAATATAGGATAGCATACCCATGACTAACCACCTCAGAATGTATGTGGCATGGTAAGCTGCAAGGTGCTGCTTTCATAATCACTTCTTTTGATATCCAATATCTACAGTTTTCCAAATATTAGGCTGGAACTTCATCCTGTAACTAAACACAATTAACACATAAATCATGTTAGAAACTTTTATTTGGTCCCTGCAACTTATTTAAAAAAAATTATACTCTCTACATAAACTCAAAATAAGCTTGCAATGTTAATAAATTAAAAAAAATCATTTACAAAACTTAATTATGCTTTTCCCAAGTATCTGATCCACCATCAACCCAGCCTTGTCTTGTTTCAGGGAAAAGTGTTCTCAAACTAGCTTATGGAAATATTATATGATGATTCAATGAATTTAGAAGAAAAGATGGGAGAGTAAGAGTATATATTATTATCGATTGGATGTTCGGAAAAAGAGCATGGAGTTGAAGGGAACACCGATCCTCGAATGAATCCTCTGAAATGATCTGTTTTACTTGTCTAATTGGAATATATTTCTTGCACAAACATAAGAGAATCAAAATTAGGAAAAAAACCAAAAGCATGCTACATTAAATTGGAATTAAACGCAAGATAATTACAATAATTCACCTGTGTGACGAAGATTAAGTTGAGGTCTAACCTGTTGAGGAAAATTATTGCAACATCGATGGCTTTTCACGCTTCAATCATCACTCACTGAAATTCGAACAACATTCATTTAATAAATTAGAGATTATAAATAAAATTAGGTTAAAGAAAAGAGGGCAGAAGTAGAAATAAACCAGTAGAAAGGCCAGAGAGTGTAATCGAGATCGAAAACAAGGAGCTGAACAATTACGAGAGAACAAAGAGAAAATTCATTGGATGACGAACAAAACGTTAGGAAGGAACATCTCAGAAGCGCCACGCTGAGTTTTGTCTCCAGCATTTCCACACCGCTCGAGGTTTGGCATCGATGTTCTTTCCAACTCACAGGGAATCTGCAAGGAAGGAGTAGCGACGCGGCGTTTCTCCTCCACGATGAAGAGCACGAGAAGGAAAAAGGATACAATCCTAAAAACAAACACTTAACTTTTATTTTGTTCAAAAACATTACAATATAACAATATTTGTTGTGAAATAATTATGGTATTAATATTTAATAGAAATTAATTTAAAAAATATTTCAACTTATTATTTTCCGTTTCATTTTTAATAACAATTGGTAAAAAATATTTTATTAAATTGTTTCCTAATCTAAATTTTAACTAATATTTTAAAAAGCAGACCGAATTTTTAAAAATATAAGATTAGAGTTTAAAAATTCAATTGATCTAATTAAATTTAACAATAATTAAAAATATAAATTTATAATTTATTATTAATTATAATTTTTTTATAAATATAAGATTATTGTTTACTAAAACTATTTCTGAATACAAATATTATTTTAATATGAATCAACATAGGAATAATTTAAATTATATTAAATTATTACACAAATAAATTTTTTAACAATAAATATGTTTAAAATTCACAATAAAATAATAAATTTATTGATAAATAGTTTTTGTAGGTAACTTTATTTAAAGATCATCCTTTATAATATTTCCAAATTTTAAATAAAATATTTATAGATTATAAATTCTAATTTTTTAATAATTCTTTATAATTTTTACCATACATAGTTTTAATCTTCAAACTCCACTATCAATAACATTCTAAATTTGATTTTCTTTCAAATTTGACAGTAAAAAGTGAGAAACTCAAGTTCCCTTGATCTTCTAAAACATGGTGGGAGGATGAACGAGAATGAATAGAGTCCTAATTCTTTATACCAATTCTCCTCCTCTGAACTATGTTTGGGGAGTAGATTTCTGGTTGATAGAGACGTAGACAAAATCAATCTAAGAATAATATAAAACTTGTCTGAAAGACAAAAACTAATGAGTGCTATAGAGATGTTGAGTTGGTTCAATCCATTTTGGCGGGCTTATAGCAGAAGTCAACAGGATTGGCCGGGCACCCCTATTTATAGTAACACTATTTGCCGTTTTGCAACCCAACGGTTTCCTCATCAGTTATAGTATTGCGTTCAGCTAGGGTTAGGGTTTGGGAATTTGCTATCCAACCAAGATGGAGATGTCTGCATTTGCTGGATTGCATGATGATCTCCAAATGGAAATTCTCTCCTCGCTTTCGGTGAAGACTCTCCTGCGATTACGGTGCGTTTGTAGGACATGGAATTCCCTCATCTTCCATCCTTCATTTGTTAATTCACACCTTCAAAGATCCTCCAAGAACCCCGAAATCCTAATCATGTTTTGCATTAATCCGAGTAACTCAGCTGAAGACACTGGTGTCCGCATTACACAATGGTCTATACCGTTTATACTTGAAAACCAATCTTTGTTCCTTGATGAGTTGGGATTTTGTTTAGGGGATTTGTCATTAAAAGATTCATCTCATCATATGTTGGGTGTATGCAATGGGTTGATATGTATGCGTTATCATTTTAGCATCGCTCAATATGACCATTACTTGGTTCTATTTTGGAACCCGGCCACTAAGATTAAGTCTAATATTTCCCCATTCTTACGTGTCAATTCTTGCAATGATAGTGAAGATTATGATGTGAAGAAAGGGTTTGGGTACGATGCTTCAAGTAGAACTTACAAGGTAGTGGCCATCATTTTCCATGTTGAATCAAAGAGTTGGGAGGTGAAGGTTTACGGCATGGGTGACTCTTATTGGAGAAGGGTTTTAACCTGCTCTTCTGCTTTGCCCATTTTGCAAGATGAAAATGGAGTCTTTGTGAGCGGCACTCTTAACTGGTTAGCACTTCGAACCTCTGTGAATTCTGATCCTCTAATAGAAACCGTTACAAACAATAGAAATCTATTAGTGATTTTTTCGTATGATCTGAAGGATGAGGTATACAGGTATATGTCGTTACCTAATGGTCTGTCTGAAGTATCTCATGATAAGTGTTATCTTGGTGTGTTGAATGATTGTCTTTGCCTCTCTCATGATCACGATGGAACCTATCTTGTTATTTGGGAGAGAAAGTTCGAAACCCAAAATTCTTGGACTCAGATGCTGAAAGTAAAATATGCACATCTTCAAGCTCCATATGTTCCAGTTTATTTTCGTTTACCTTTGTTCAAGACTGAAAATGGGGATGTTCTGTTGCTGACAAACCATGGACGTGCACATTTTGTTCTGCTTGATGAAGAAGATGACAGAGCAGATCGTATTGAAAGTTTCAAAAGCGAATTCGAGTTATACTCAACGTCTATATCTTTTCATTATGCTGAGAGTTTGGTTGTGCCGTATTAAGCTACCTGCATTTTCTTATATTAGGTGATGTAAATAGTCTCCAAACCTTCCTATTGAACATTGGAACATGAACTGGAGGAGCTTAAATTTTTTTGGTGTTTCTGTGGTTACTTGGTTTGATTAAAGCTTGAATAATTTTGGTGGTTCCCTTGTTCTATTAATTTGCTGAATAATTCTTTTGAATCTCGCCTGAATGGAATGAATCCATTTATGATTTATATTTATAAAATAAGCTACGGAAATGTAATGACCACTAGATTTCTGGTTTGGATGGTTACTATTTTCATTTAATTATTTTTATACATTGAAGAAGAAATATAATATTTTTTTCTCATTTATCATAAAATATTTGTTTCTCCATTCTTATTTTATGCTAAAATGTGAATTAAAGTTAAGAGAAAAAAAGGATAATGAAAAACAAAATGATTGAAACAATTCAACCCTCCAAATTTTAATCACAACAAAAAAATGAGACCAAATTTCAACACAATCCGCCATAACTACACCGATCAAACGAGAAGATAATGATTGAGAATTATTGAGACAATTAAATTTTGAAGTTCGTCCAATCTATTTATAAATATCGAATTTCATTGAAGGTTTATAATTATATATCTTTTAAAATAATTCGAACACATTTACCTAATAAAAAGTGATATTTATTTATGTTTATAATATTTTGTTATATATGAAAAAAACTCTATTAATCTATTAAATTAGAATAAATTGCATGGCTTACTAAATTATCTTTACACAATAATAATTCCTGATATAGTTAAAGAAGAATTTACTTTTGATAATTGGAACTAGAATACAAATAAGAAGGATGTTTTGCTGTTACAAAGTAATACTACTACAATATTTATAATTATAATAATTATATATGATGAATATTATTATAATATTTATAATAATTTTTTTATAAATTAGTGTAGGAGAAACGCGTCGTTGACTTGAATATTAAAGGGGATATGATGTAAAGCATGGGGAAGGAAGGAAGGGACAGCAGCTTGCAACAAATAGACCCATCAACCTCCATGCTTCAATCACTCCTGAATCTGATTACGATCACTTATTATCATTATCACTCCCCTCACTCTCAAGTCCTACAATCAGGACCCATTAACCTTGTAATTTTGTGGACAGGGACTTTTCACCAAACACAAACAAACCACACAACATTCCATTTCTTATGTATATTTTATCACTAATCCGTACCACACGATTTCTTCAACTAGGATAATCCTAGTCCTGCATGCACCAATCAAATTTTTCAAACTCACTTCAATCATCATCTTCTCTATTTTACTTTTATTTTGCTCCAGTTTTTTGCATTCAATTTGCGTGAGATCCCCGATTAACTCCTTGTTTGCTAATCCATATTATTGCCTATGATATATAACCATGAATTACAAAATTATTAAAGAAAAAATTAACTTCAAATACAATTTGTAATTGGTTCAAGTAATTATGATTTTCCAATATCTTACAACACTAAAGAATAATTTAGTTGCTAACGAAACTGATTTTAATAAAACATTATTATTTTAAGTTCTATTAATAAAAAAATATTATATATATATATATAATTAAAATTTAAACTTCATTTAAAACTGTTTTGAAGTCGTAATAAAGTAAATTATATATGAAAACAAACAAATCTACTATATTTTGTTCAACTATAACGAATAAAATTCAATGACAAATATAAGTCTTTTAAAAAATCAACAATAAAACAGATGTTTAGAGAAATATATCTTTTATAATATATCTTTATCAACAAAGTGACGCGTGTCACTTATGTAACTTATGGATAAAATTTATTCAACTTTTAGAGCTAGTAATAAAAAAAATCATTTTGTGTTTTTGGTTTTAAAAGATATTATCATAAATATATGTTAAAAACATTTTTAAGAAAATGGAATGGAGGAGGAAATTGTAAAAAATGGAAAAAAGAAGAAGAAGAAAAGAAGTAGAAATCAAAACAATTTACAGATATATAACTTTTGTTTCTAATAAAGTTATATAACCTCTTTTAAGATAATACACTATTTTTTAAATTTGACAGTATTAGAAGAATTTAATAAGAGGTTATATAACTTTATTAGAAACAAAAGTTATAAAGTTAAAAATAACTTACTCTAAATCGTATGTGAATCATTGTAACAAATTTCTCCATATCTTCACAATTTCTTATATGTTTTACTTAAAAAGATAACACAAGTTAAAAATGTAAATTAATATTATCGTTTATCTTGTTTCTCTATTCAATATAATAAATGTGGAAAATATTTAAATAAAAACGAATAATAATAATAATAATAATAATAATAATAATAATAATAATAATAATGTTTGATAAACGAAAAACACAAATTTATTAATAAAATAATAATAATAGGTCAAAATAAAGGAAGTAGTATACAAATCGAATTCGATATGATTGGGTTGCCAAATGCGACCGATTACTTTAATTTACCTTTTTTTTTCTTTTCTTTTTTTCAATCCCAAATATTTACTGAAAATAGTAGGTATAATCATTATAGCTCAAGAAATAGAAAATAATATAGAATACGAAACATTCTTCCTTTATATATATATATATATATATATATATATATATATATATATATATATATATATATATATATATATATTATTCACTTAGAAAAATACATTCTTAACTAAAAATTATAATATCTCGTGAGAATAATTTATAAGTTTTTTATAAAAAATTGTAAAAAATATTTTTTTTTCAAATTTAAATATTTTTTTAATAAAAAATTGAAAAAAAATAACAAATTTATAACTGGTGACTTTACCTTAATTAAATTGTTCTTGTTAAAATATTAAGATATTTTGACTAATTTTGATTAAGTATAAAAGTTTGTTTTGATTTAAATCTAGAAATCTCTAATATAACGTCGTGATTTTTCCGTTGCGATATTTGTAATAATAATTGTTAATTACGAGTTAGATTTTTGAGATTATATTATTCTTATCCGTGCAAGCTTATTTAACAAATTAGTTATCTATTCACGGATTAGTTGGATCAAGGATAAATCAAAACTAGTAGTTATACATCGAACCTTGTGTACAAAATGTTCAAGCTTAAATATGTTGTCCTAATTACATACTAGATTGATTTGAAATTATATCGTCCCTTCACTTTAAGTATAAGATAATGAGAGTTAAATTGGGTATCTTAAATTGAAACTTAATTATGTAATCTAACAACTTTTTCTAAGAAGAATTTATTCTATATAAGATATTGATATTATATTTGATCCAAAACCTTACGATATTAGATAATGTGTATTTCTTTCTATTATATATTCCTGAACTTTCTTATTTTTACTCAATGTAAGATTGTAGACTCACATTTAGATTTTTTTAATAATCTCTTCCTCAAGTGTAAATTTCTTCACATGAGTATATCTCTTCAAGTTCACTAGTAACTCTTAACATAACATGTTTGTTTGACTCACTGTCAGGAAGACTTTTAATATAAGGATCACTCTTACACCATCGATCACCACATAAACCATCAGCTTTGATACCATTAATGGTATTTCTGAGGGAGATTATCAATAAAAGAATATGAATCAATCATATAAGAGAATATAATACTACTTTTAATAAAAATCTTTAAGGCATTAGTTATGGATATTTCTTTTTTATATGTTATTCAACTTTCTTATTTTTATTAATGTGAGACTTAAACTTACACTTGAATTTCTCAACAAGTTCTTTAGCATTGAGTTGAAGACATTAAAGCTTAAATTCAATATCTTAAATTGAGACTAAATTGAGGCGAATAATTTGACACTATAATGTCAAAGATGAATGAACAAATATATATAACCCTTACATTCATTAACTTTATGTCAAATGTATCTCTTTAAACATCTAATATGAGGAATAATTCATTTGTTTTCATTTACCCTCACTCTATTTTTGACGAATTGATCTCATAGGATCATAAGTTGTGTCATTGGAAACTACATAAGGTCATGAGTTGGGTCGTTGACCATGTGTTGGATCATATAGGGTCGCGAAAGGGTCGATGAAGACCATGTGATGGATCACATAAGATTGCAAGTAAGGTCATTGAAGACCACTTGATGGATCGCATAGGGTAGGGTCATGAGTAGGGTGTTGGCAAAATTTGGGTCATGTATATATATGATACATAATTTAAATGTGTTAGGGTCATTATTTATTAAGCCAAATAATAAAGTGATCTGACTAAATTAAAGTTTTGGCTAAAGGCATATGTCATGAAAATAAAATTGTGTAGAGACCATTGAGCAATTTCTAATTTGATGAGGGGCCAAATTGGAAATACTAAAACTTAAGTAATTAACCTAATTCTGGTTATCTAAAGGGTCATGGTCCCCTTCTGGAAGCACATAGACAAAACGTAAGTTTCATTCCTGTTCCTTTCTTTCTATCCCCATCAAGAGAGAAAATCAAGAGGGAAATACATGTGTTCTTCAGGTGGAAGACCATAAGATCAATATAGTGCTCTACAAAGACATCATCATTATGGCTAATTCAGGTACGCTTTCGCATTCAGTTTACAACATGTTTATCAGTATGGGATTATGTTTATGTTTGATCGTTAGAATCAAAATCAGGATTATTATTATTATTGTTTTTCCAACAATTGGTATCAGAGCCACCCATATTTGATTCATGTATGTTTAATTTATAGAACCCTAATTATGAAAATTAGGATTAATTTTGTTTTAATCAATTCAAATTACCCAATTTTATGAACCCTAAGTGGAGAATAATCTCTAATTTTCGTGAACCTTAAAATTTAAAATTTGGGGGTAACATCCCCAATCTGATTCTGCTTGCTGATGGAATCGTGGAGGAAGCTATGGATTCTTCTTCTTCGGTTTTCCCTTTTATTTCGGTTTAAGTTTCAAGTTTTACTGAGAAAGAAACAGTGTTTCAAATTTCAATCTTTCTTGTATTGGATTCTCTGTTCT